ATAAAGATTTTTTCTAAAACACAGACAAATATAATTACCATACAAAACCTTCAAGCCACAAGAGTTGCAAAAGTCTACAGGTGTGATAAAATTTTATAGAACTACATACATACACACACAGAGCAAGGTGTATGTATAATCTGATGAAGTCTAAACAATGTCTGTACTTGAGCTGATTGCATTGTACTAACGCATCAATTTCCCAGTTTCCATAACATACTATAGTTATGTATGTTGATATTATTGGGGGAAGCTGGGTGAAGGGTGCACAAAACTCTCTACTATTTTTGCAAACTCTTGTGAATCTTAAATTTTATCAAAATAGGTAAAAATTACACTAGTTGTAGTGGCTCATGCCTGTAATCCTAGCACTTTGGAAAGCTGAGGCAGGAAGACTATTTGAGGCCAGGAAATTGAGATCAGCCCAGAAAACAGGGAGACCATATCTCTACAAAAAACAGAAAAATTGGCTTGGCGCCTGTGGCTCAAGTGGCTAAGGTGGTGGGTTCAAATCCAGCCTGGGCCCACCAAACAAGAATCATAGCTGCAACCAAAAAATGGCCAGGCATTGTGGCATCACAACTCACAGCAACCTCCAACTCCTAGGCTCAAGCGAGTCTCCTGCCTCAGCCTCCCAAGTAGCTGGGACCACAGGTGCCCGCCACAACACGGTCTTTCTCTTGCTCAGGCTGGTCTCAAATTCCTAAATTCAGGCAATCTACTAGCCTGAGCCTCCTAGCATGCTAGGATTATAGGTGTTAGCCACTGTATCTGGACAATTTTTCTATTTTTAGTTGAGATGAAGTCTTACTGTGTTGTCTAGACTGGAGTATAATGGTTAGTCAGTCACAGGCACAGTCTTATAAGTAATCAGCACAGAAATTTTAACCTGTCTTTTTTTTTTTTTTGGAAACAGAATCTCAAGTGTATTGCCCTTGGTAGAGTGCCATGGCATCGCAGCTCACAGCAACCTCAAACTCTTCAGCTTAAGTGATTCTCTTGCCTCAGCCTCCCAAGTAGCTGGGAATACA